TACTACTTTTACTATTTCTACCACTTCTCCTACTAATACGATTACTACAACTACTGCTGCAGCTGTTGCGAGTATTACGACTAACATTATTTTTGTTGCGATTACCTCGACTACTATGACTTCTAGTACTACAACTACCACAACTACTACTACTACTACTACTACCACTACTGCTACTTCTAGTACTACTACTACCACTACTACTACCGCCAGTACGACCACTACTACTACGGGTTACTACGGTTACTACTACTACTACTACTACTACTACTACTACTACTACTACTACTACTACTCTTACTACTACTACTACTACTACTACTACTACTACTACTACTACTACTACTACTACTACTACTACTACTACTACTACTACTACTACTAGTACTACTACTAGTACTACTTCTACTACTACTACTACTACTACTACTACTACTATGTCTGATATTGCTACTACTACTAATACTAATACTATTGCTGCTACCAATACGACACTACGACTACCCTTGCTACTGTTACTACTGCTGTTACTACTACTACTACTACTACTACTACTACTACTACTACTACTACTGCTACTACGACTACCACTACGACTACTATTCTTCCCTATTGCACTGACCGGCCCTACTAATACCACCCTTACTGCTACTACTACGACTACTACGATTACTGCTACTACTGCGCTACGACTACTACTACTACGACTACTACTACTACTACTACTACTACTACTACTACTACTGCTACTACTCCGACTACTACTACTACCACTACTACTGCTACTACTCCTGGTCCTCCTACTACTGCTGCTAGTACGGCTACTTCTACTACTATTTCGATTACCAGCACTACGACTACTATCATTATTTTCACTACTACTACTACTACTACTACTACTACTACCGCTACTACTACTACTCCTACTACTACTACTACTACTGCTACTGTTAGTATGACTACTACGGCTACTACTATAATTACGACTACCATTGTTGTTACTGCTACGACTACTACTACGGCGACTATTTTACTACGATTACTACTGCACTACTATTACTTTTACTACTACTACGACCACCAATACTAATATTACTGCCACTACTACGACTGCTAACGAACTCCTACTACGACTACCCTTCTACTGCTACTACAACTACCACCACTACCATTACGACTGATATTCTTTCTAATTTACCAGGCTAACTAAGAGAACCACGAAGACTACTACTACGACTACTACTAGTACTTCTACTACTACGCTACTACTACAACTGCTACACTACTACTACAACAATTACTACTATGTTGCTATTAGTACTATTGCTACTAGTATTACTACTACTACGACTACTACTCTCACGATCACTACTACTACTACTACTACTACTACTACTACTACTACTACGACTACTACGACTACGTCTGATATTGCTATTACTGCTACTTTTATTATTACCACTAATGCCACCACCGCTACGATTCTTCTGCTCATACGACTACCACTATTACTACTCTACGAATGCGATTACGATTGCTACTGCGACTCTGATTCCCGCTTCCACGGCGACTATTATTATTATTATTGCTACGCCGATTGCCATTACTAGTACTACGCCAACTACTATCACCTAGTAGTAGTAGTAGTAGTAGTAGTCGTCGGAGTAGCAGTAGTAGGAGTAGTAATAGCATTAGTAGCAGTGATGCTGCTACTAAGATTTTTACTATCTCTCTAATAACGATGAATTTTACCATCGTTATCACTATCATTATTTCTAGTACTACTTCTTCTACCACTGCTATCATTACTAGTACTGCTACTACTACTACTACTGCTACTACGACTATTACTACTAGTACTAGCGCTAGCACCAGCACAAGTACTACTTATACTACTGCCGCTACTTCTGCTACTGCGACTACGACGACGACGACGACGGTGGCTACTATCTTCACGACTACTACTACTACTTATAGTAGTACTACTACTACTACTACGATTACTTTGACTACTTCTGCTGCTACAGTACTACTACCCCTACTACTGGTACTACTGCTACTACTTCTGCTACTGCTACTACTACTACCACTATTACTACCACTACTGCTACTACGACTACTACTACTACTACGACTTCGACCACGACGATTACGACTACTATCATTAGTGCTACTACTTCAGCGACTACGAGTGTCATTACTATTATTGCTACTACTACTACTACTACTACTACTACAACCATCACCACTACCCGTACCACTGCAACTGCCACTTCTACTACGACCACCACGATTACCAGTGCGCCTATTACTAGTACTGGTACCTCCCTTTCTTCTCCCGCTGTTAATAGTACTCTTGTTATATCTACGACTATGACGTCTGCCAACACGAAGATTTTGTTAGATGGCGAAGTCTATTGCCACTGTATACTCTACCGTTGCGAATCGTGTTCCGAGCCCCACGACGACTACTCCTACTACTACGATTACGTTACCATGA